TGCCTAAGGAGGTCATGGCAGATCAATGCTCCCTTCAAAATAACTAAAACACCTGGGTAGCTTTTTTTTTTTTAAATCATATTTTAAAGGAGTAAGTTCTTCTCTCATGGGATCAATTAGGGCTGAATGAACCAAAATTCTTGGAGTTGGGGAGTGAGGGCAAACCATTCTGAGCTGTGCCTGGGCAGAGGATCCATCTTAACTCAGATAAAAGACCACTGCCAGGAAAGAGAGAAACTAACAAAGCCTTCAATGGTTGTAGTGAGTTAGGATAATGCACTGGAAATTTGAAGTCTTCAAATGCAGACCCAATTTTTCCCAAGAGCCATTTGTTGATTTCTGGGGGTACAGGTGAGACTGGGGAGCTGGACACAATTCTTCCAAAGTGCTAAATGAAATCTCCCTGAACTTTATGGCATTTGGACAACAAACCCATCGGAGGAGCAGGCCTGTATCAAGTATGTAGACAGTCTCCCCCTTACGACATCCAAGCTCACTTTGAAACTGTGTGGTGAAGGAGGCTAGGTTGCTGGGCTGGGGCACTGCTAAAGGACAGACCTGGATCTCCTGCAGTCTCTTAGGTCTGAGGAAACAGATCCACCAGGCTGTCAGATTAAAAACCCAGAAGAGCCACTTACAAGGAGCAGAGGCAAGAGTGGCAATCTTACTGAAACTGTAACCTAGCTCAGTCTCTCATAGGCTGAGGATGTGATCACCTCAAACTAATCTGCCTGTCAGAAAAGGAGACCCTCCCTTTGTAAGAGCATATCATCTGAATGTTTTATATACGATGTATGGCATACAATAAAAATGATTAGACATGCAAAGAAGCAAGAAATTATAACCAAATTACAAGAAATCAAAACTAGATAAAGAAAATCTAGATAATTGAGTTAGAGAAATGAGACTTTAAAATAAGTGATCAATATATTTATGATATTAAAAGAAAAGATAAATAGAGAACTACAAGAGAGAATTGGAATCTATAAAAATGGAGTAAAATAGACATTCTGCAACTGGAAAATATATCTAAATTTAAGAACATAATAGATAAGTTTAGCAGCAATTTGAACATAGCAGAAGACAGTATCAGGAACTGAAAGAGAGGTTAATTAACAATGCCCAAAGTGAAACACAAAGAGGAAAAAGAATGCAAAACATAGATCATGTTTCAGAGATATTTGGGACATGTAAAATTCTTCTAACATATGTTAAAAAAAAATGAGAGAGGAGGGTAGGAGAGAGAAACAGAAGAAATATTCTAAGAGATAATGACTGAAAAATTTCCAACTTCTGAGCACCTCATAGCAAGATTTTGGAAACTCAAAGCAATGATCAAAGCATCAAGAAACAAAGACACATTTTCTTCAAAGAAGCAACAATAATACTGATCAACTGACTTCTCAACAAAAACTATGGAAGCCAAAAGACAATAGGAGGAAATTTAAAATACTGTAAGAAAATTGCTGCTCACCTAGGGGTCTAGACTCAATGAATATATCCTTTAAAACTGAATGCAAAATAATGAAGATGTTCTCATACAAAAACTAAGGGACTTTGTCACCAGCAGACCAGAACTGTACAAAATGAAAAACTAAAAGGAATCCTTCAAGTAGAATGAAAATAATTCCAGGTAAAACATGAAGATGCTTTATAAGTATCCTTTATAGCATCCTGTGAGATAGGTAAAGGAAGCAGAGTAAATGACACACAACATCTGAGTGGTAGGCAGAATTCGTGCTGATGTTGCTGGCAGCAGCAGCACCTACTGGGTGGTAGAGTGTATTGCTTCAGGGGCAGACACTGTGAGATAACTTCGCTAACTTATTTTCCTGGTTCCCTACAATAACGCTGTAAGATCTGCTTTGTTTTATCTTCATTTTACAGATGAAAAAACTGAAGCTTAGAGGGATTAGAAAACTTGAAAACAGTCTCTAGGATGTGGTCAAACAGACTCAGGTACTGATGGGTCCTGCCTTAGGAGGCAGATGCAACACAAAGTCAAACAGGCACTAAAGACCTAAAATTTTAATGTCGTTAGATTTTTGATTCTCAGAATAGAATCCTCACCGAATTTGCATTTCAGATAGTTATCTCATATAAAATCCAAAGGGAAACTAAACGAATGTATA